AAGAATTGATGCTTTTGAACTGTGGTGTTGGAGAAGACTCTTGAGAGTCCCTTGGACTGCAAGGAGATCCAACCAGTCCATCCTAAAGGAGATCAGTCCTGGGTGTTCATTGGAAGGACTGATGCTGAAGCTGAAACTCCAATACTTTGGCCACCTCATGAGAAGAGTTGACTCATTGGAAAAGACCCTGATGCTGGGAGGGATTGGGGGCAGGAGGAGAAGGGGACGACAGAGGATGAGATGGCTGGATGGCATCACCAACTCGATGGACATGAGTTTGAGTAAACTCCGGGAGTTGGTGATGGACAGGGAGGCCTGGCATGCTGCAATTCATGGGGTCGTAAAGAGTCGGACACGACTGAGCTGCTGAGCTGGGCTGAACTGAACTCCCTCAGCGAAGGGCAGGCTCCTCATCAGCCTACTCGTATGCCCAAAGGCCAGTCACCAGAATAGAGATTCAATAGATGACAAAATGCAGTCACATCAATACATCAAATAGTACTGATGTACATGACTCTTCCTCCAAATCTGTAATGGCTGCTATAGAGTAAAACTAGTAACAAGAGCCCTCTATATTCTGACTCTCTACTGAGGGAGACCGCTTTCCAAAATGGCTCTCAGTGACTCTTGCCCCTCCAGCCTTCATGCCCCTTTGTAACTGCCTTCTACGGAGGACACGCTGGACCTAGACACTTGTTTCGAACAGACAGAATACAGCGAAAGTGCTGGAATGTCACCTGTGTGATTAGCTTATGAAGACTGTGACCTGTGTCTTGCTGGTACACTCTCTCCCTGACAGTCTCTCTTGTTCTGTGATAAAGCCAGCTGCCATGTTGTGAGGTGCTCTACAAAAAGGCCCATGTGGCAAGAACATGAAGGAGGGACTCCAGCTAACATCCTGGATTCAATTCACAAGGAAATGAATCCTGTCAAGAACCACGAGTGCTGGGAAGCAGACCTTTCCCAGCTGAGACAGTCAGAGCACCCAGCTAAGCCAAGCTCAAATTTATGACCTACAGGAACTAGGAGGTAATAGTGTCACAGGCTACAACATTTGGGTTCAACTGTTAAACAGCAATATAACTAACACATCTACAAAGAAGAATTTTTTTAAAGAATTAAGGATAGGAGACTCTTGTTGTAGTTACATTTAATGTTTTAAAGATTCCTGTGAAATGGTAAGACAGGCTTTTACTTCAGCTTTCAAGGAAATAAACTCAATGCAACTGGGATGACTAGAAAGATGACTATAGTAAATAAAGCAGGCAGACTGTGCGCCATGTCAAATTCCTAATACATGTAACATCAGTGGGATGTTATTCAAGCCAGTAATGGCACTTCTTTTCCCCACTATGATGGATTAACTTGCAGTACACCAATTCTCTCACTGAGAACCATAGGAAACATGTAAAAACATGAACACAAACACAAGACACTGAAATCTGCACTGAATAAATACTAAGCCAAATTCTTTAGGTAGAGGGAAAATAACTCCAGAAGGGAATACAGATATTCAGGAAGGAATGAAAAGCAATAGAAAGACTAACTGTGAAGGTAAGCATAAAAGAACATTGGACTACAGGAAAACACTAAGAACAACTTAGGGTGCTCAGGGTTTAAGAATCCAAAGAGTTAAAATTCATGAAAATAGCAACACAAAAGCAGCAAGGTGGGGGAATTCCCTGGTGGTCTGGTGGTTAGGACCCGGGGCTTTCACCGCCATGGCCCAGATTCAATCCCTGGTCATGGAGCAAAGATCCCTCAAGGCACAAGGCTAAAAAAGTAAAAATTAAATTAAAAAAATTAAAAGCAAAAAGAGAATACACAGAGTTTAAGTGTTCTAAGATTCCTGCAGTGGTTGGGAAAGGATAAAAGAATCAGTTTACTGATCTCAAGGGCAACCATGAAAAGAACATAAAATAATAGAAAGAACGTAAAGTAATATAAAAACAACAAGACAGAAGGGGACAATGAAACAAAAAGTAAATAACCCAGAAGAGGACCAAAAAAGAAAAAAAAGAAACAGAACAGATAAGACACAGAAAACAAATAATCAAGATAGACTATCTAAGTCTAAATATATCATTTATTACATTAATATGACTAAATTAAAATTCCAATTAAAGACAGAATGATAGCCTGAATTAAAAAAAAGAAAGAAAAAAGAAACCACAAGTATATGCTGTTGTAAGACATTCACCTTAATTATAAGGACCCAGGAAGACTGAAAAAAAATGGAAGCATACCACAAAACCATCCACCATCCTCCTCCATGCCCAGCCAAAAAGCAGTTACTGGTAAAATAATATACTTAGATAAAGCTGATTTTAAGGCAAGAACATCACTAGAAATAAATAAGGACATATTATAATGACAAAAGAGTGGATTCACCAGAAGACATAACAGCTCTAAATCTGCATGGATTTAGTAATACTGTATGTCAAAATATACAAAGCAAAAACTGACAAAACTGAAAGAACAAATGTTCTTAGCGCAGATTTTAACATACCATTCTCAGTAATTCATAGGGCAAGCAAACAAAAAAAATCAGTAAATCCATAAAAGACTGAACGTGGTTAACAAATTTGACCTAACAGATATAGAACATCATATCCAACTAATTAAATGATTAACTTTCTCTTCAAATACAAATGGAAAGCAACATTTATTAAAACTGACCATATGTTAAGCTATACAACAAGTCTCCAAATTCAAAGGGTTAAAATTATACAGCTACATCTCTGATGATAGAGATGGAATCAGTAAAAAAAGAAAAAAAAATCCCTCAGTGTCTGAAAATTAAGCAATACACTTCAAAATGACTCTTAGGACAAGGAAATATCACAATAAATAACTGGAAAACACTACGAATGGAATGATAATAAAGACACATAATGAATTAAGTAAAGGACACAAGTGGTCAGAGAAATACTTACTACCTTAAATCTGTATATTAAAATAGGTAACAGGAATACTATACAAATTTCTCATATTCTTTATCTCACTCAAACAATGGGTATATTCTAATGTAACATGTTTGCTTGTCTTTAAACAACTCAAGATTTTAAAAGGTTAAAAAGGGAAATGTAATATAGACATAAAGGTAGAAGAATCAGAAAGACAATTCACTTTTCTCTTTGCTTTTTACAAATGTGAAGAGATTTTGCCTTGCTTGTAAATCCCTATTTACTACCTCGAGGCACATTCTTACATTGTTATTAACCTACCAGACATGCAGTTCTTTTTTTTTTTTTCCAGACATGCAGTTCTGAGCAATATCAATGCCATGATAGAAGAAAATGCCAGAAATAACCAATATTAAGTAGGAATAGAGTTTTAAATCCATTACTGTTATCATATACTTTAGTAATGATGTATATTATAAATTTAAAATGGAAATAAATAACATCAAAGAATTGTGTTTCACTTAGTGTTATTAAACACAGAACAATAATGGAAATAATTTAGCAGTACTCACCTATCAAAGTCTGACAGCTTATTCGGGTTACACCACTATTTACAGGGAAGTCATTTACATATACCTGTCCACTCTCATAGGTTATGTTAAGAACAACCTTAAAATAAAGCAGCATATACATTAATTCCAATGGTTTACAAATGATGACAAACTCTTCATGTCAAAAATACTTTATCTAACTAAATGAGGTGTATAGATAAAAAATAAAATAGTCTGCATGATACTTAGCTAAGTGATATAATGAAAGCATAACAAAGACACACCTGTTCTTTAGACACCTTCCCATCCTCCAGGGTGGTTACATTAATTCTGATGCTATCCTGCAAAATAAATACACAAATCAGGTAGGTATGCATTTGCTGAACTGAGAATAACTCAGTTCATTCTCTTCTCCCTCAGTTATACTTACTGTATGATCGCTTATGTCTACATTAAAAGAACACTGTTAAAAAACTCATCAGGAAAAAAAAAGAAAACACGACTCATCAGTTTCATTTTTACAGCTCTTTTGTGTGCGTTGGGGGGGGGGGGGGGGGGGGGGGGGGGGGGGGGGGGGGGGGGGGGGGGGGGGGGGGGGGGGGGGGGGGGGGGGGGGGGGGGGGGGGGGGGGCTTTCGGGATCTTAGTTCCCCAACCAGGGATGGAACCCAGGGCCCCAGCAGTGAAAACACTGAATCTTAACTGCTAGACCACCAGGGCATTCCCTTTATAGTCTTTTAAATGCCATTATTCACAATTTCAGTTTTTCATAATCTATACACTTATCCATTTAATATGAAATATATCATGTATCTGAGCATGTAATATGCAAATACAGAGTTTAAAAGAAAAGATAAACACTCATGTATCTCCTACCCAGGAGCAAAACTAAAATGTCATTCAGATCTTCTAAGTCCCCTGCATGATCCTGTCACATTTCCCACTGGCCCTCAGAAGGAATCCCTATACTGTCTTCCATGTTAACATTTCTTGCTTTCCTTTACAACTTAACTCCCCATGTGCTCTCTCTCTAAACAACCTATTGTTCAGTTTCATCTGTGCCTGAACTTTATAAGTGGAATGATATTGCATGTATTCTTCTGGAACTTCTTTCATTTAAAACAGTTATGTGGGTAGATGCACTTTTTTTTTTTTTAACAGCATTGTGTAATATACCATCAATTTATTTGTTCCATGAGAGCAGACATCAAATGTTTCCAACTTTATTGTTTTCACATACAAACTTGCTCTTATCCTTCTTAGAGGTGTCTTCTAATGCCCATGGACAAGGACTTGGGGTACAGAGTCTCAGTGCCTCTCACGGGATGCTCAAAGACAGTCTACTCAAATATATAAGTTTATTCATGAGATGCTCACTACACAGAAGAAAGCACTATTTTAAGTATTCAGGGTCACAGGAACTATAATTTATTATCTGTAAATGAAATTCTTTCCTAAGTGTATTCACAGATGTTGTTATCCTAGAACAAAAAGAAGACTCCTCTTAAATACCTTTGGGGGGGGGGGGATTCTTAATTTTCAAAGAGAAAAATTATTCTCTTTTTCAGTCGCACTGCGGGGAGAGAGGGGCGCTGCAGACAGATATCACTGTGTGTGGGGAGCACTCACCGTGTTCCGGCCACACTGGGCTTGCCCCCGCTCACGGGTGTGTGCTCTCCCCGTCTACACTGCTCAGGCTCCCAGCTGCTCTATATGGAGCGGGCCCTGCATTGCGTGCAGTTCCAGTTTTCGGGTACTCCACAAAAGCGTGGACTCGGTTTCGCCTGCGTTTTGCGCCTTCCCCAGCCGGAGCAGCTCAGGCAGCCAGGAGCTTGACGTCGCACTCTCCCCGGGTGCGGCGCGCCTTCTCCCCTCCGAGGTCCCAGCCTCAGTTTCCGTGGCACGCCAGTCACGTGCGTGCGGCTTGTGTCTATCCCCGGGAGCTGGGCTCTAGCCGCGACCCTCCCAGCGGATATCGACCATCCAGAATCTCAGGAAGTCTTTGGTTAGAAACTGGAGGCCTTCTGCAGTTTGGTAGGGGTGCCGTCTCTGGAGCCGAGTTTGCCCCTTTCCCCTCCCCACTCCCTCCTGCCTCCCGCCGGGCTGGGCCCTACCGCCGCAGGCTAGCTCTTCTCTGGAATTGCTCAGTCCCTTTGTTCTGCGAACGGTAGGCAGGTTAATTTTCTCTCTCTCTCCCTAGCTATCCCACAGTTTAAGTTGCTATCTCACAAAAGCTCCCTCTGATTGCCCTCAGGGCATTCAGGCCCGGTCCTTACCCTAAGCAATGCCGCCCGCTCCTCTCCGTTCAGCCCCCACTTGCTGGTGGCAGATGCGAGCGTCTGGGGTACTTTTCTGCTGGGAGTTGCTTTTAGGCATGTAATCTGTGAGTTTTATTTATTTTTCCTCCCAGTTAGGTTGCCCTTCGAGATTCGAAAACTTCCCCCAGACCCGCCAGTGCGAGGGTTTCCTGGTGTTTGGAAACTTCCTCTATTACGACTCCCTTCCCGGGATGGGTCTCCGTCCCTAGCTCTTTGTCTCTCTTTTTATCTTTTATATTTTGTCCTACCTCCTTTTGAAGACGATGGGCTGCTTTTCTGGGAGCCTGATGTCTTCTGCTAGCGATCAGAAGTTGTTTTGTCAAGTTTGCTCAGCGTTCAAATGTTCTTTCGATGAATTTGTAGGGGAGAAAGTGGTCTCCCCGTCCTAATCCTCCACCATCTTGGCTCCTCCCCAAGAAAAATTATTCATAAACATCAAACTAACATACCAGCGTATTTCTTGGCACTGTGAGCAACCCCAATACTTTATATATAATTTATAAAAAATGAGAGACTAAGACAGTAATTTTATGGGCTGAGTTTATTGATTCCTGGGACAACTTGATCAAGAGGATACGAACATGTAAGTTTGTATCATCTATTCAGGATGACTTTGGTCCACTTCCCAACTCCCAAAAGAGCCCAGGAAGCTTTAGGACTAGTGATTACTCAGCTCCAGCCCATTTTTCTTCTGGCCCATCCTTATCTAGAATTAAGTGTGGGTTAGAACAAGTGAACTCATCTCTTAGAACAAACTAACATTCAATAAACCATCAAGTTGCTGGCTGTACTGTTTTATGCCCAAATTTCAGTCAAGAATTCATTCTTTCCAAACTAGATGATCTATCTGAAAACTGTAGAGCACTGTTCTTCTAACAGTCTGGAGATACGTCTCCAGCAATGCTCTTCTGAGAAACCTTTTCATAGCTTCTGCCTTTCAGTAGAGAACATACCCTATATTGTGAGCCATTTACTGCACTTACATACATCACTTGCCCAGTAGAACTGGACCCGTTGTCTTTGGAAAAGACAATGAATAGACACGAGCACACTATATTTTCCAAAGGGCCAACTTCAATTACATTCTTTTGGATCCTCTTGAGTGACTTCACATCAGGAGAAACTCTCATCCCTTCCTGCCTCCTAACCCAAAGTTCAGAGCCAGGTCATATTTCTTGCTCTCTCCGAGAGCCTCTGACGGAACTGGAAGTACAGGCTTGTCAGCCAGGGCAGTGTATACTTAGAAATGGGTGGCAGAACTGAAGTCTCTCCCCACTCATTTTCAATTCTCCTCTGATTCCGTCACTCACAAATGCCCACCTGGGACAAAATGACTTCCTAAGAACAAAAGTAATAGATACCTGGTTTAAAGTAAGTCTGAGGGAAATAAATGAAATAAATATTTACACATATAAGAAAAAAATATTTACACATATAAAAAAATAAGTGTCCTCTGGTTGCCCGCCTCTCTTTGGTCACCAAGTCATTTTAATATTAGAAAAATAAACTGTAAAAAAAATTTTATTACTTCACAATCTGTGTAACCTCAACAGCTGACAGCTTACAAATGTAAACAAAACAGAAAAATGCTTATAATCCAATAAATGAGTGACTGAAGAGATACACAGTGAATTTTCCTAACTTCAACCAATTTTCTTACATTTAGGTCAGGCGGGATATGAAGATAAACAGATGAAAACGTGTGTGATAAAGCAAGTATAAAGTGTAAAGTGAAGTCGCTCAGTTGTGTCCGATTCTTTTTGACCCCATGGACAGTAGCCTACCAGGCTCCTTCGTCCATGGGATTTTCCAAGCAAGAATACTGGAGTGGGTTGCCATTTCCTTCTCCAGGAGATCTTCCCAACCCAGGGATTGAACCCGGGTCTCCCGCATTGTAGGCAGACGCTTTACCGTCTGAGCCAGCAGGGAAGTATAGTAAAATACAAATGGTAGGCTGAGTTGGTATTATTCAACATGGTACCCACTAACCACATGTGACTATTTACATTTAATTAAAACTAAACAACATATTAAAAACTCAATTCCTCAGCTGTGGTACATATACACCATGGAATATTACTCAGCCATTAAAAAGAATTCATTTGAATCAGTTCTAATGAGATGGATGAAACTGGAGCCCATTATACAGAGCAAAGTAAGCCAGAAAGATAAAGACCATTACAGTATACTAACACATATATATGGACTTTAGAAAGATGGTAACGAGAACCCTATATGCAAAACAGAAAAAGAGACTCAGATGTATAGAACAGACTTGTGGACTCTGGGAGAAGGTGAGGGTGGGATGTTTCAAGAGAACAGCATTGAAACATGTATATTATCTAGGGTGAAACAGATCACCAGCCCAGGTTGGGTGCATGAGACAAGTGCTCGGGCCTGGTGGACTGGGAAGACCCAGAGGGATGGGGTGGAGAGGGAGGTGGAAGGGGGGACTGGGATGGGGAATACATGTAAATCCATGGCTGATTCGTTTCAATGTATGACAAAAACTACTGTAATGATGTAAAGTGATTAGCCTCCAACTAATAAAAATAAATGGGGGAAAAAAAAAAAACTCAATTCCTCAGTCACACTGGCCACATTTCAAATACTCAATAACCACAGTAGTCCAGTGGTTACCATGATGCAGAGTTCAAATACACCATTGCTGCACAACAGTCAACAGAACAACTTGTATCAAATATGCATGACCACTCTAAAACTCTTTCAAATGTTCTGTACCTTTGAAATTTTTCACAATAAAACTCTGAAAAATGTTTAGATTCAGAAGCCTCAGCTTCCCACATACACCTTCCAAGGAATGAGATTCTCCTCCTAGTTGCAGAGCATTCATTTAACCAATGAAATGAGTGTAGATCTGGACTTCCCAAAAGCAGACAGAAGTCATAAGAAGAACTGAAATGAACAACTCACTAAGAACACACAGTATGGTGTATTATCAGCCTGCAGTCTAAAGGCAAGCATATAATAGGAATAGACTCAAAGGTCTTTGGGGTTGATAAATAACTATGATAAATCTCTAAAGTCTGGGAAAGGGGTAACCAATGACTCTAGTTCCAGGACCCTAGGAATTACTTCATTTTAATTTGGTCTCGATTTCATATTCATATTTTCGAACAGCTGCAACTGTGGTCCACTTTGGATATAAGTGGTTCTTAGAGCTTGGGATGGTGTGGCTTCTTGGAAAATCCCAAGAGAACTGAAACCGAGGTACGCTATTATTTTTGTAGCCAGGAAGGGTAACGCCGTAACTCTTAAAACAGTGAAAGTAAAACAGTGACATTTATGGTGTCAGTCACACCTAAATGCTGGGTATTCGGGTCTTGATTAGTAAGAAAAGGTGCACCTATGTCTTTTCTTCTCATTCTGGGAAAATAGCATTGTGAAGTCTTCAGACTTTTCCCCTATCACACATTCAACGGCTGAGAGGCAAATACTGGTTAAGGGCAGCGAGAGTCCCCCCGACCCGGGCAAAAGCTGTAAGAACCAGTCAGTCACCCTGCAGTAGAAGCACGCGGTGATGCGCAAACTTCAGCCCACCTCGGGATCACCTGGATGGAGAGCTTGCTGCAACGCTCTGCTGGGTCCTCACCCTCGAGCTTTTGATTGGAGGGTTTCTACCAGGTTCCCAGAGGATGCTGGCGCGCCTGGCCCCACCGCGCTTAGAGACCGGCTCCTCTAATACCGCCCGCTAAAGGCAGGCCGGCAGGGTCTGCGCGGGGTCTTCCGTCTCTCTCGCTCTGCGGACCCCGGGCACCCAGCTTGCGCGCACCCGGAGCCCCGCGCGCCGGGGGCAGGCATTCCTTCCCGCCGCCCGCTGCAGCAGACAGGTGGCCTGGAACGCCCTCGCTCTCTCTCGTTGAGCAACTTCCACGTTTCCCTAGCACATAAACACTGCCTCGCCCCAGAGCCCGGCTCTACCCCAAGAAGGCGCCATTACAAAAGGCGGTGATCGGCGACTTTCGACGGCAAACGCCCGTCAAGACGGCAACAGCCGAGACTACCCAAACAGTTTCGCTGCGCCGGGCTTAACCACACGTTAAAGATTCCCTTTCACTCTCTCGCCTCCCCCGTCCCCTGCCGCCCCCGTTTCCTTGGGTGCTTCTCTCCACCACTCCCCGCCCTTTGGGAGCCCGGCCCCCAGTCCCCGGCCTGCCCGCTGGGAGGTGGGAGGCGTCGACGCGGACGCTGCCGTCCAAGTCCCCGGCCCGGGCTTCTCCCCGAGGATCCCGGCCGAGTCGCGTCCGCCTAGCCCTACCTTCGGGGCTGGCGGCAGGAGCGGCGGCTCCAGGGTGCGGGTCGTCAGCCACCCGGTGGCTGGCAGGGCCGCGAAGACGAAAAGCCGGAGAGCGAGGGGCGCCCTCAAAGCGCCCTCCATCTTGGACAGGCCGGGGGCGGGCGGCGGGCGTGGGCCTGCGGGCGGGAGGCCGGGGCCTAGCGCGCCTGAGGGGCGGGGCTTTTCG